AACTCCCGCTCCTGAAGTTCACCCTTCAACAAAGATTAAACTGGCCTATAAAACAAACAATAACACGTAGTTCAACCATGTATAGGAGAGTAAATGGACACACAGCCCAAAAGCACAGAGGGGAAGGCAGGAGGGGACAGGAAAACTGGAGGAATGGAAATGAGGAATTTGAGGTCAAGAAGGGGAGAGTGTTGACACATGGTCCGGCTGGCAACCAATGTCACAAAACAATTCGTGTATTAATTGTTTAATGAGAAACTAATTTGCTCTGTAAAATTTAACCTAAAATGTACACACGCACACACACACACACACACACACACACACACACACACAAACAAATGATAAAAGCAAAGTTAAAAAACAAAAAAGTAATTAAGTTTAAGATACACCCTACACTGATATGACCTTGCTAACATAACAAAGAAAACCTTCCTCCTCAGTATGATTACATACACAGGTATAGGAATTAGGATTCTAACACGTATTTTGGAGTGCCACAATTTAACCCATAACAGGATCCAGTAGTAGAAAGGAAGCGTTTTTGTGAAAATGCAACCCTCTGGCTGCCACCCTGCTCTGCCAGTAGGCTCAGTTGCTGTTCCATGGTGAATCCTATCAGGAAAAGATGTGAAGCACCCATGCCCACTGAGCATGTATAGTTGTTTAGAAATTATGTACATATGCAGCTGTCATTGCATAGACGAAATATCAGTAAATTTTCATTTCTTTCTTATTTTGGGTAACAGTACACAGAAGTTCTAGTATTTTCTTCCTGTACCCCAGTGATTTGTTTTATTCCCCCAGTTTGGAAGTTTGTGCTGCTGCCTTATGAGGATCATGGTCCTCAGAGGAGAAGGCCTTGGATGGGCAAGGAGGGGGGTTGGTCCAAGGCATGAAGACCAGTGACCCTGGTTTCTATGCTTGCCTTTCTCAGTCCTAGTGATCTTAATAATCACAATAATAACCAATATTTATTGAGTGCCCACTATATGCCTAAAGATCAATTGCCATGAGTTTACTCCAACTCATGGCAACCTGTGGTGCAGTGAGTTGCTTTTATATGGGCCTTTCTAGCCATGGTCTGTTAACTCCCACAAAATGATTAGCTGGGACTATGCAAATAAGGTGCTTGTGGCCTATCAAGGGGATTGGTCAATTTTGCCATCCCACTAGTCTTAAAAGAACCAATCCCACGGAGGTTGAGGGGGAACCTCACTACCATCAAGAAGAAGAATCTGGAGTGGAGCATGTCCTTTGGACCCGGGGTCCCTGCATTGAGAACCTCCTAGATCCAGGAGACAGAAAGAGCTGTAACACTGGAGATGGCATATCTAAGTTGTGTCAGGCAGGTCCTTAAATTTTTAGGGTAGCTGGTCACTTTGAAAGTCTGATGAAAGTTATGGGTCCTCTCCCCAGAAGAATGTCCATAGGGATATACACACAATTTTTTGTTATTTGTTTGAGGATACAACTCCCAAAGTCTACCCAGGGCATCTCTGGGGAGAGGAGGTGTTGAGAGACATGGAACAGTGTTTTTGAGCAGAATCAAGAGCCCGGCTAAAGTTAGGCACCACCAACTTGTAATGTCCCCAAGCCTCTGGAGTGATGTGGTTTTACCTGGGAGCACTCTCTTTCCTCGGTGCATGAGTGGAGAAAGCAGATGGTGGGACTGATTCAAGTTGGGTATTGCTAGGCTGCGGGCAGTGGGAGAACATGAATATGAGTGTGTATGATTTGCAGGTTCTACTGGAAGTGCATTTGAAATCAATGAATGACCAGGCAGGGTAGAGAAGGAACTCATGGGGAGATGGAAAGGCTGGATACTTGGGGCAGAGAGAGGGATTGTAGGCCACTGTAGACTGCTGGTGGCTGGAGAATATGCTTGGCTGGAGCAGAGAGTGGGAGAGGTAAACAGCTAGAGAGTGGTATGCAGAGGGTGAGGTTTTTGTGCAGGACTGCAGGAATGGAACAGTTTTGTGTGATGACAGGTTTCAGGGCCTGGTCCTGACAGTGGGTCACTTACTGAGTCTACAGGATCGTTTATGAATGCAGAAGCTGTCCTAGGATGCAGGCTGAAGCTGAGGGGAGAGGAGCCTGCAAGACACACGATAGCCATCAGTTCGTTTGGGGACCTTTTTAGAGGCTTTAATCAGTTGTCATTGAGTCAACTCTGAGTCATGGTGACCTCATGTGTACCAGAGTAGAACTGTGCTCCATAGGGTTTGCAATGGCTGATTTTTTTCAGAAGTAGATCGCCAGACCATTCTTTCAAGGCACCTCTGGACGAACTCAAACCTTTAATCATTTGGTTGGCAGCAAGTGCATTAACCCTTTGCATCACCGAGGGACTCCTTAGAGGCTTTAAATTAAAAACAACAACAACAACAACAAAAAAACCCACGTTGATATTGAGTTGATTCAACTCATGGCAACCTCACATGTTACAGAGTATAACTGCTCTATAGAGTTTTCTTAGCTGTAATCTTTACAGAGGCAGATTGCCAGGCCTTTCTTCCATGCCACCACTGGGTGGGTTCCAATTGCCAATCTTTAGGTTAGCAGTTGATTGCAAACCATTTACACCACCCAGGGACTCCTTAGAGGTTTTAGAGGGAGAACAATCTCTGGAAGTTGATTATTGCTTAAGAAATTTTTTCCTAATTACTCAAAAGCCCTTTTCTCTGCTTTGTTTCCTGGCCCCCCTCCCAAATATGTACATGCTTGGAAGTCAGACCCATCTGGGTTTAGACCCTTATTGGCTGGGGACCCTAGACCAACGCCTCAGCTTCTCCAGACTTAAGCTTCCTGCAGCTGAGTGAACTTCCAAAAATTATTTTTGCAGATGCTTTCGTTAATTGGGCTAGTTTTTATGTGGAGCAGGGTATAACAACACCTAACTCAACCTAGCAGTCAGAGAGACAACGTGGGTACAGCATCCGGCCCAGTGTGTTGCATGTAATAAGGGCTCAGTAACCCAGTTTCCTTCCCCTTTAACACCTCCCTTGCCCAACAGTTGTGGTTAAAAACTGTCCCTTGTGACTTTTGATGTGCCTTTCTTATTTAACTGTTTATATCCACTTTCTGATAGATTACACAAAGCAAACACCATAAGGATTCTGTTGAACTCGTGCGGAGAGTATGGGAGTGCTAACCAAAAAGGTTGGCAGTTTGATTCCACCCAGTAGTGTCCTGGGAGAAAAACTTGGCGATCTGCTTCTGTAAATTAAAGCCTAGGAAACCCTATGCGGCAGTTCTACTGTATCACATGGGGTTGCTAGGAATTGGAATTGACTCTACAGCACCCAAAACACCGAATGTTTTCATGTATTTTTCTATACAGTATTAAAAATCAATACTTAAAATAACAAATCAGCAAAAATCACGAATTAAAACAGCAGGGAAAAGAAAAACTTTCATGAGATGGAAATGGTGAAGTGGAGACTATCAGATTCACTTAGCTTTGCTGTCTGATTTTTATTAGTTGGCAGCCTCGTTTCTTTTTTAGGCTCAAGGAACCAAATAGATCGAGGAGGGAGTTTGAATTCCAGTATTTCGAGCTGTTGCGTTTTGGGAACAGAAAGGGGTCGTGGAAATCCAGTCGCCAAATCCCCCTTCTTATAATAACATGCGTAGAGAGGTGGGTGGGCGCATAAACAGTGACCTGGACGGCCAGTATTTTCACACGGATAGAACCCACCCAGACCGCTGCCGCACAGAATTGCTCCCAAAGTAACAGAATCCGAGCCTCCAGGCCAGATTTTCCCTCTAGCCATTCACGGCCATGCAAAGCTGGGCTGCGAGCTCACAGAAGGGATGTCTTCATCGCCAACCAGGATGGAACAATCGCGCCCGCCTGCTCGGGGAGCGCTGAGAACCTAAGGGTCCCTCCAGCCCCGGCAGCAGCCAATGTGCCTTGACTTCCCCCGGCCCTCCCGGCCCCTACTCGCCAGCCGCCCCCGCCCTTTCCGGGTGTGCGCGCACGAGCCGGCGCGCAGGGGAGGTGTGCGCCCGGCAGCCTGCGGGCGGCGGCGGCGCGGGGAGAGGGGTGGCCAAGGGCGGCGGGGGAGGAGCTGGCGCTGCAGCCGGTCCCCTCGGGCCGCGCCCCGCCCTCCGCCGCCACCTGCGCGTTCCCTACGGGCTCTCCGTTCCCTGGAGCGTGCGGGCTTTCGGTGCCGCAGCGGCGGAATCACTGCTTTCGCGTATTCGGAGACTGGGCGTTTGGCTCCTGAGGGAGCGGAATGAGCTGCGCTGCCTGTTCTGGGGAACGGAGGGTGCGCCGGCGCGCGTCCCTCCCTGCCGCGCTCCCCGCGACGTTGGTGGAGGGGGTAGAGAACTGCTGTGACTTTTGAGGTCCGACTCCTCCTTCCGGCCGGCCTCCGGACGCGCCCGCTCGGGGACAGGCCAGTGTACCAGGCAGGCCCCGCAGACTTGCTGCGTGGTGTTGGACTTGGAACGTGTCCGGAGCCGGCTGCTCTGAGCGCGCTGGTGAGTTTGGCGGCGGGGTGGGGTGTCCCCAGGCGCAAGAGGCGGAGAGGACGTCGCACTCTACCCCTCCTCTCGCCCCTGCTGCTGCCCCCACTTTGGAGAGTAATTGAGACTTGAGCGTGACTGCGGAGACGCGAAAATGCGGGCAATCAGCGCGGGCTTTCCCTCCGCCAGGCGTGAGGGAGCGGGCCGGTGAGCGGAACAAAGGCGCTCGCCCCCAAGGAGCGGGTCCTAGGGTGAAGAGCGCGGGCTGCACGTCGCGACGGCCGCCTGCGGACCACGGTGCTGGCAGTGCGGCCCGAGACGCGGCGCGGTTCCCCGCGGGCAGGCGGCAAGCCCTAACCCGACACCTGCGCGCCGCGCCCGCCGCGGCTCCCGGGCAAACCCCCGCCGGGCCCGGGCTTCCGCTGCGACCGCAGCCCCGCTTGACAGCCCAGAGGCGAGACGTTCCCTGGGCCAGGGGAGGGACCCCCGGCCCCCGGCCGTTGGCCGAGAAGTCGAGGCGCTTAGAAGGGCCGCGCACAGGGGACCAAGCAGGCATCTCGAGAGCGTTTCTGCAGACTGAGGGCTCCCATGTGAGCGATTCCACTCTCCTCCGACCGCCCCGTCTTTCTAGCCGTCTCCGCCTCCCGCGCACCCGGCCGGGGCGGCCGCTCTCCTCGCCGTCTGGCCGGAGCGTGAGGCTAGCACGGCCCCTGGCTGCCCTGCGCCTCGCAGGAGCTCGAGGGGCGCGGGTCCGGGGCGAGGGCCGGCCGGGCGTGTTTGATGGCTTCACTGAGAAGAGTCAAAGTGCTCCTGGTGTTGAACTTGATCGCAGTGGCCGGCTTCGTGCTCTTCCTGGCCAAGTGCCGGCCCATCGCGGTGCGCAGCGGAGACGCCTTCCATGAGATTCGGCCGCGCGCTGAGGCGGCCAACCTTAGCGCGCACAGCGCCAGCCCCATCCAGGATGCCGTCCTGAAGCGCCTTTCGCTGCTCGAGGACATCGTGTACCGGCAGCTGAATGGTAAGGACGCGCGCCGGCACCCACGGGGCTTGTGCGGGCTGGCCGGGCACCGAGTAAGCCCGGAGTCCTGAGCCTGGTGCCCGGGAGCCGGTGGGTCGAGGGAGGGACAGCGCCGCGGCGGCACCTCGAGGCTTCTGTGCGCGCCCTCTTCCTCTCTCTGCCCCGTGTCGGGCAGGAGCCCGGGGCTGCTAGAAAAAACTGATGCTTTTCTGTGCCCTAGCTGTAAGTTTGGTTGTATGGTGGAAGCATGTCAGTACAGTTGCCTGCGGCTCCGCGTGCGGCTCACAAAATCCTTCCTCGTGACTCCAGCTCCAGCGCAGAAATGGGACCGGAGCTTGGGCCGAGGTCGAGGGAGGAAATAGCTTCTACTGCGCAGCGTTTGGTAGGGTACGTACAGGGGATAGGGGATGGGGTCCTTAAAAATCTACGGGAAAATTTAGGGCCCCAGGTCGTGGAGCTAATGCGCTTCGGTAGTAAGTTACGTGAATATGTTTTCGCTCGATGAGGCGGGCTGCACAGTTTATAAGCAGAACTCCTTCCTTCCCGCCGCTTTGGCGAGGCTGCTATTAAAAAACATACCCGGTTTCTCGCCCGGAACTGCCATGGGAAGATTGTTAAAGTTCGCAGTGGGCTGGGAAGCAGGTTTTTATAGCGTGTAGCAAAGCGAGGTGGAGCATCCTATTAGTGGCAATTGTGAGAATCTGCCCCATCTAAAATGTCTTCCTCCGTGCTTCAGGAGAAGAGGGGGACTTTTTATGTGCCCTGTTCACACCTGGTCTGGGGACTCATGGGTCATCGGCGACTCACTGTCCCCAAGGTCAGAGTGAGTGTTACCTGCTGGAGTCATCAGTTCTTCAGGGTCCACGTGGTGGTTATCCGAGGCAGATACAATATATTTGCGACAGGCTGCTTCCTCCCTTCCTGAGCTTCTAACTTAAATCTCACACAGCAGTTCCAGAACTACAGATAATCATAATAAAAATAATGATAATCATAATTAGTAGAATTCTTGCACTGTACCAGGCAGTGTGCAAAGTTGTTACAAGTGCATTATTCCATTGTTCACATCAATCCAGGTAGATTCCATTCTAGCCCTTTGTTGTTGTTAGGTGCCGTTGATTTGATTTGACTCACAGCGACCCCATGTGACAGAGTAGAGTTGCCCCATAGGGTTTTCTAGGCTGTAATCTTTATGGGAGCAGATCTCCACGTCTTTCTCCCACAGAGCAGCTGATTGAGTTCAAACCGCCAACCTTTCGGTTAGCAGTTGAGCATGTAACCACTGTGCTACCAGGGCTCCTCAGCCCCAAATTAGAAATAAGCAAATGAGATTTGGAGAGGTTAACTAAGTTGCCCAGCGCCCTGCTGCTAGTTAAGTCTGTAGTCAGAAACCCGTGTCTGGATGACTACAGACCCTGTGCTCTTGACTACAAGGCCAGACCTCTCTCTCCGGTCTTCTAATTATAGTCGCCATGGCAACTGACAACATTAAGTTTGATGGAAAAAATTAAGACGTGGAGCTGCAGATACAGCTTTCTACCTGCGTTAGGTTCCGTACTAGGAGGAAGGGACCCCACCATCTTCATCGCAGTTAGACTGTGAGACTGGCCCGGGACAGGGAGGAGGACAACAGCTAGACTGTTCTCTTCCCTCACTCTGATGATCCTTTCTGGGTAATTCCTGGTGGGAGGTGGTCAGATGTCCGAGTGCCTCCTGTTAGGATACCTGGGTCATCTGGATGCCATTCGACAAGTGTCTGTGGGAGGCCTTGAACTTGCGTCTGCATCTGTAGCAGGAAACTGTAGTACTCTGACCCCTTGCACACAGTGTAGCTCTTGGGGGTTGTGCTGAAGCTGTTCTGAGGGTCTAGAAACTAAGGCACAAAATGAAGCAAAAACCCACAGTTAATTTCTGCAGGAATAAGAAGCTTATGGGGCGAGTCTTTTTACCTGCTATAGATGTACCCATAGGACCCCAGAAAGAGAGTGCAAGCATCATTGAGTTCCCCCACTACTAGGTTGCACTCAGGAAGAGAAGGCTATTTTAATATTAATTTCAATTAGGAGAATTAAATGTGATATAACCGCACCCCCGGCTCTCGAGTTAATAATGAGGAACGCTGGTGGTGCAAGCGGGTTGCAGTTGGCTGCTAACTTAAAGGTTTGTGGTTCGAATTGGCCCAGCAGCTCCACAGAAGAAAGGCCTGGCAAACTGCTTCAGTAAAGATAACAGCCAGGCAAACCCTATGGAGTGGTTGTACGCTGTAACACATGAGGTCACTGTGAGTCATGGGCAGACTTGACAGCAGCTAACAACAACAATGTGGTGTTTACTAAGTGCCAGACAAATATTAACTCATACAGTCTACAGCAACCCTACGAGGTAGGGAGATCCCTGGGTGGAGCAAGCAATTTGCACTTGGCTGCTAACCTAAAGGTTAGCGATTCAAACCCACCCTGTGGCACCACGGAAGAAAGGCCTGGCAATTTGCTTCCATAAAGATTGTTGTTGTTAGTTTCTGTCAGTGTTACAGCCAAGAAAACCCCATGGAGCAGTTTTGCTCTGTAACACATGAGGTCTCCATGAGTCAGAATCGACTCAACGGCAATGAGTTTTTTTTTTGGTGTGGGGTAGGTGTTATTACCCAGAAGTAACATGCTCATGGTCCCATAGTGAGTGTTCATACTGGGCATTCTGACTCCAGAGATGCAGTGCCTACCCACTGCACTAGCCTTTCTCAGTCTTTAGCGTGCATAGAATCACCTGGAGGGCTTGTTAAACACATACTTCTGAGCCCCACACCGAGTCTCTGCCTCTGTAGGCCTGGAGCCAGGCCCAAGAAGTTGTATCTCTAACCAGCTTGTGGCTGGGTACCATGATCCTACAACAAGCAGAGCCAATGCAGAAAACCTGTTGGAGCAAAGCTGGTTGGTTGGAGGGGGTGGGGAACTTCTAAGAAGCCTAGAGTTTGCTTCCACGGGCTGGGGCTCTGTCTTGTTTCTGGGTGCTCTTCTGCCATTCAGGCAGTTCCCTGGCATGGGGGCGTCTCATACTTGGGGCTCGTTGGGTTGGGGGCTGTGGGGTGGGCAGGCTGAGTTTTCTGGCAGCTTTGAGGAGGAGCTGCAGGAAGACCAGGTGAGAGTTTTCCTGGGCAAGCCAGGGTTTCCGGCTGCGATGGGGCAGATGTTAGCGTCCTGGCTGCCAAGTATAATTTGTAGTGACATGCAGCCTGCAGGAAAAGAGCAGGGAAGGTTCTGAAATGGAAAGGACCCTCCTCTCTTTACCCTCTCCCTGCTCTTGTTCCTTCCGCCACCTAACCTTCCATCCTTTGCCCATGCTTGGTTCTGGTAATGAGTCTCCCATTCATTGATGCACTGGGCCACAGTGGGAGGGTAGAGTGAGGGAGGAGAGCCTGTCCCAGTGCCCAGGGAGATGGGATGAGGACGTCTCCTGTCCTCTCGCTTTGCTCATTGCTTACTGAAGGAGAAGAAAACTCTGACATTATTGGTCTTTAAATAACAACAAAAACAGTTGCTGTCAAATCAGTTCCAACTCATGGCAACCCCATGTGTGCCAGAGTAGAACTGTAGTCCATGGGATTTTCAATGGCTGCTTTTTTGGAAGTAGATCGCCAGGCCTTTCTTCCAGGGTGCCTCTGGGTGGACTCGAACCTCCAGCCTTTCAGTTAGCAGCCAAGTGTGTTAACCATTTGCGCCACCCGGGGATTCCTCAGTGTTCTTTATTCCTCGGGCATTAATGGAGAGCCCCCCTGTGCCTGGTACTGGGGATGCAGTGACAGGCCCCTGTGGTTTCAGCCCCTTGGCTGCAAAGTGGAGCCACATTGTAAAGGCTGCTCCAACCTTTCCTGTTGACTCTGGTGAGGTCCAAGCAGAAAGGAGTGGGGAGGGCGCCACAGGCCCCTGACCTTTGAGCACAGCGGTCCCCAGTGACCCCTCTCTCATGAAGCAGGTTTTGTGGGTGTCTGAGAGTCACACACTGGCCAGCTGGTGAGTGAGCCCAGGTTTCTCAGAACTGGTCTCTCTGCTAAGACTCCTAGTGCTGAGGTTCCAAATGGGGCCTTTTCAGAAAGTTACAGGATTTTTTGTTTGTTTTTTGTTTTAATACCAGCTAAGAAGGCTTCTTCAAAGAGAAAGTGGAGATGCTGGAAAGGAGGAGATAGCAGACAAAGAGGAATCTTTTCCCCCTTCAGAATCTCTCTTGCATCTGTTCTTCCATTTTTTCTCCTAGGCTCCCACGCTAACCCCTGCCTCTGGCCCTTAACTTCCTACTCTTAAGGGGTTGCAGCAGTCACCTTTCTTCCCTTTTTTTAAAATTGTGGGACAAATATACATAAAAAATATTTGCCACCTCAACTTTTATAGGTATATTTCCGTGACATTGATTATGTTCTTCATGTTGTACAAGCATTATCAGTGTCATTTCCCGAATTATTCCACCATCATTGACATAACCTCCAAAACCAACCAAACCCACTGCACCTACCTCATATCAAAAACTGACTCATGGATCCCATAGGGTTCCAGATCTCTATGGAAGCCGACTGTTACATCTTTCTCCCACAACATAATCCCACTGCCCCCTAAATGGTAACTCCTCCTTCCCTCCTCACCCCTGGTAACCTCTAATAATCTTTGGTTTCTGTGTATTTGCTTATTTCATATAAGTGGCATCATATAACATTTGTCCTTTTGTGACTGACTTATTTCACTTACTGTAGTGTTTTCTAGGTTCATCCGTGTAGTGGCAGATAATCAGGACCTCATTTCTCTTGATGACTGAGTGATACTCTGCTAAGGAGCCCTGGTGGTACAAGCAGTTTGCAGTCGGCTGCTAACCTAAAGGTTGGCAGTTCAAACCTACCAGGTGGCTCCATGGAATAAAGGCCTGGTGAACTGCTTCCATAAAGATTACAGCCAAGAAAACCCTATGGAGCAGTTCTCCTGTGTAACACATGGGGTTGCCATGAGTTGGGACTGGCT